TATTATTATTATTAACATTGAATGACCAGGAAGATAAGAAATACATTATTTAGATAAAATCACATAATATCAGAGACATTGGTCAAGACATTACGCCATCTGGCTCTTTAATACATTTAAAGTTAAAAAAAAAATTCTGAGTTAGCTAACAGCATTGAAGGATATAAAAGCTTTTAAAACATCACAGCAGTCACATGATATAGAATGAAATTAGGAGACACATATAACCATCAATATGCCAGCCCAACCCTCCTAGAAAGTAAGTTAAACAAGACATATCTAACAATGGTGGGGGCACTCAAATACCCTATGTGGTCAGAAGACGGTGGCAACTATTGTGGCAGTGCAGTATTTGGTCACTTTACTAGTAATGTAAAGTGGAGAGCAACAAAAGAATATAAAATTCATACTAGTAATGTAAAAAACCTTATTGGAGAGCAGCAAAAGAATATAAAATTCATTGGATCTCCCTGGAAATTGGGGAGATCTCAATAGAAATGACAGTATATGAGGACATCCCCCACTGTTTCTACTTCACCACCATCACAGGCATGAGGACATCCCCTCTACTTCACCACCATCGCAGGGACATAAACGATCAGAACAGAGTATGCCCTGAAATTGTGCAATTATGTAAGATTCTATATTTTCCTTTCTCTAAAAAAAGTACATAATTCAGCTAATGAATTCTTGACAGCCAGACTTAATAACTGACTACTACTTTCATGCTGTTAGTTCAGTGCCAATTTCTGTTTTTAATACACATATTTTTGAAGCATTTTCCTTACACTAAACAAAGAACTAAAGAATCTATATTTGGTGATAGAGTGTTTGCTTTGAATTTTAGTCAGCCTAGGGTAAAAAGTATCACATATACATTTTTTTTAAAGAAACAAAAGTTATTTTCATAACAGTATCTGACTTTGGCATAGTCTTTTGCTGGCATGACTAATGTTTTGCTTTTGACACCATTGAAGATGGTTAAGTGAGGCATAGCAGAGCATATACTGTGGATCATCACTCCTAAGATAAGGAAAACCAATTTCAGTCACCACAGGTTGAAGATTACTAGAAAAGGTCACTACATAGTGGTATCTGATGTGCAGCTCCAGGATATGTTTTAGTGATGGGGGGAGCTTATACAGGAATAACAAAATTATTTTTTTACAGTATAGTTGTTCTGTTACTAACATTTAGAAAACAGAAAGATGAATTCAAGTAAAGGCCAGAGTATCCTGTGTGATAATCAAATCTGTAGTTTATATCAGCTGAAATCAAGTAATGTAAAATTATTCCACATAAGCCTGATTATATCATTAGCCATGGCCATATTTTGTTAATAAAACATTTTGTACCCCCAAAGTTCCTGGGCTTCTTTAGGATCCCTTTGGTCATGGGGAACTCTTTGGGGACAGTGGGACAGGGAAGCAACTCTTAAATGTGTGAAAATTGCCACTTCTGGTTGCAACAGGACCACCAGCAGCATTATTTGGACATTTAAGATTGATGTCCTGCCAAGTTGAGAAATTTTGTGAGTATATAGAAAAAGTACTTCTGGAAATGAAAGACTATTAAAGTTGTCTATATGTGATTTCAAAACAATTAGCTGACTGTCCAGCCAAGCAAGGATGCTGTCCCATAACAATCTTGACAGTTGAACAATGTTGTGTTACAATATGTAAATATGGAAGTGGCATTTGTAAATCCTATAGCTTACACTTCTTGTAGCTCCACTATCTTGGAGCTTCAATATTTTAACATTCCAAAGTCCTGGTACAACAGGCCTTTATTACTCCAAGCTCTCCAGGATGTTAGTCATAATGGCAGCCGGCCAGATTCTAAGTTACAAACCTCTGGAGTTACAATAAGTGCAGGAACAATTGAGATTCCTATAACATCTGCTCTCAGGTCTGCCTGGACCCTGACACCACCTTCCAACCAACCCAGTTTGTCAGGTTTGCAAAGCACAGGTTGTTCTGCAAGGAGGATGCTGGAACAAAGATGGTGGCCACAACATGGCAGCTACCAGACTGACTCAGCCTTCCAGAGCCCTGATTATGACACAAATGGCCCCCAGTAAGTCAGGGACCATCTTTTTAAAAATAAAATAAAAATAAACTATGCAGGGGAAAGCTATGTGAAAAGAATTTTTAACTGCTGCTGACCATACTGACATGGGGATTGTGGAAGTCATATTCCAAAAAATATTGATTTTCAAACTCTAGAAATAAACTGCCTAAGATCAGATCTTAAGTCAAACAATCATTTTAGTGAGTTTTAAAATATATCTCTTACCCAAAGTGTTTTTCTACTCCATATGACCACGTTCTGCATAGCATACATGTCTTGAAAAATGTGAGCTCAATACATGCAAGATAATTTTCATGACCTGAATGTGAGCTTGACAGTTTCACCTGCTTAGCTGAAATACCTGGTAACCATTGAATGAACTTGTGCCCTCTTAAATATTTTATTGTGCTACAATGTCTGGAGAGCTCAGTGAGTTAGCCATCTGGCTGCGGAGCTAGAGGTTGAAAGTTAAGTTTCTCACTGTGCCTCCAGGGAGAAGAGGCAGCCTGTATGGCCTTGGGCAAGTTGCACTGTCCTAGGATGCTCCCAGAAGACAGGAATGGGAAATCACTTCTGAGTACTGTTTAGCTGGACAACCCTGAAAAGGTCACCTTAAGTCAAAATTGACTTAACAGTGCACAGTCATTGTTATATTGTACTTTTAATTTCCTTTTTAGTTCCTGACGTACCACCATCTGAAGTAAGTGGGGGCGGTGGCAGCAGGTCTGAACTGGTCATCACATGGGATGTAAGTTTTCTTCTTAAAATTTATTTTGCAAATGTTGATTTTTTTAAAAAAAATCACTTATTCACATAAATTTACATAATGTTGTAAATTTTTAGTTTTGGACAGTATTTTACACAAAAATGCAATTTTAACCCAAAATTGGCACAATTGGTACAGTTGCAGGAATTGTGCAGATGGCTCAGAATTGCCTTCCAGTTTATTTAAGAATCTAAAGCACTTCATGAATTGTTGCATTTTTCTGTATAATTGCCAAACCTTCTGTGCTTGCTGTGCATGCATATGGCTGTGTGTTTCTATGTGTCCTTTCTTCCTCAAATGGAAAAATACAAGATAATTTACACAAATTATAAACTCTGTGATGGGGGAAAATACATTTTCATTTCATTCTTAGCTGGAGAAAAAGAATCTTGCATGGTTTTAAAATTCTTGATCAGAATTTCTTGTAACAAAAACAAAAAAACTGTCAAGAACAAACAGTTTGGAGACTGTTCTGATCATCTTCCTATTATTGCAATGTAAATAACTTATTTAGAAAATATCCCTGAGCATTTGGCCATTACCTCTTGAGTGAAAGAATTCAGAAACAGCAATAATAGTAGATATGTTCCTTAATCTTTGTCTTCAAGTTTTCTTGGTGGTTGCTTCAATGTACAGTACACAGACACATCCAAATAAGGCCATCTATACACTGGATCAAGAGAAAACTATGCTTGAAGGCAATATAGACACTAAGATTGCCTGCTGAAGGAACAAGTAAGCAATACACGCCCGTGAAGGCATGGAAAAGAAGCTCCATGTGTCTTCTGGAATAGTAACACTGAAGAGTAGAATTCTGTGGCCTCCATACACAGGTGCCACAACAGTCACATGGATGAGTTGAAATACATGGCGACTCATTAAGACTACTGTCCAAAGCATAGGAGGGAACAAGGCTAAAGCCCAACAGAGCCTAATGGGCTCACATATAAGTAAATAAACTTCAAACTCCGTTTCATTCAGATAACATTTGAACCAGTCCTTAGTCTGTTCATGGATAAAGACTGTTATAATTCTGTTTTATTTCTCATTCTCCTCTGTAATCTCTGGTTATAATCTTGACTAATATTTGTATCTTGGTCCCTTTGCCCATCCTCTTAGTATGAAATAGTCTCTATTTTTATTGTTGTATCAACTTATAAACCACTCCATAGTGCTAGAACACTCTCTGGGTGGTTATACAGCATAGTTATGCAAACAGCATTCCTGTCCTGTCCCCAGTGAGCTGGGTAGTCATTTTACTGACAAAAGAAGGGTGGAAGGCTGAGTCAAGATTGAGCTGGCTACCTAAATTAGTCAAGATCGAACTCAGGTTGTCAGCAGAGGCTTGACTACTACAGTACTGTCAATGGGCTCTTCATCATTCATCAGGCTGCCCATCTTTCCTCTCTCTTCCTTCCAAACAAGACATGTTGTGGCTGTTTGTAATGGATGTTATTTATTCCCTCCCTTTTCTAGTTCCCATTTTGTCACCTCTCCCTTCTAATGCACATGTAGTTATTAGATCATATTATTAAATTTCTGAACACTTTTCAGGGCGTTTGTGTTGAAGAGTTAGATATAGAAAAAGAGACTTGAGGTATTCTGTATATTCTGCATGGCTCTACGTTAATAATTGGTGCTTAATAGGTAGATAAATAAATTCTCAGTATTATATTTTGCTTTGGGTGCCATCCAAGAGCAGATGTCTAGTCTCTGTTCCAGCCTTAGATAGGAATGCCATGTTATAACACAAAAGGACTGTACAAGAAGTTGTTGTTGTTCTTTGGTACATAGCATGAATGGAAAGTACACATCCTATGATTCAAGAACACAGAATTGTTCAACTATTATGGCATACAGATATGCCAGCAGAAAAATTGTATGAAGGAATTTAGACTGAAGGGCAGAGGGGGCATTATATCAGTGTTGGTTAGCTACATGAATTTATGGAACCTCCATGCTCAAAGGCAATTTACCATTGCACAGCAGTTGCTAAGGAAGGTAATTGGCTTCATGCCCTGCTATAGGCTAGGAATATAAATCCTCTCTTGTCTCATGCTCTCAGGCTGGGGTGAAGAATTACAACACTTTTCTCCCTTTCAGCCAGGATGGCAAGAAATTTCCTGGGCCTTGCATTTGTGTGCATTTGTGTTAGTTAGAACATTATCTTGTGCAAAAGATGCCAGTTATTGTGCAAAAAGACTTGAGTATTGCCCAAGGTTTGTAGTTCACACAAATTAGTGAATTGCCCCAAATTAGACTCATTGTTGTTTTATTTAAGAAGTCGAGTCACTATATGAATTGTTGGTGTCTTTCCAAACCTTCAGCCAGTCTTTTTGCAGTTGCTAGGTGAGTGGATTTGCATGTTAAAGAGAAAGGACTTTAATGCAACTTACAGACACCATAAGGTAGGAAGAGCTTGCTGTCTTGTGCACAGCTGGAGATGAGGAATTTCACAGGGCTTTAAAGTTTCTCATCACATAGACACACCCAAAATTGATACTGCAAGAAATTGAAGTTGTTTTCTTTTCATTCTTACTATAAGTTAAAGGTTCCCCTTGAAAATTTGTCCAGTTGTGTCTGACTCTAAGGCGGCAGTGCTCTTCTCCGTTTCTAACCCATAGAGCTAGCGTTTGTCCGCAGACAATCATCCATGGTCACGTGGCCAGGGTGACTAGACACAGACCGCCATTTACCTTCCCACCAAGGTGGTACCTATTTATCTACTCGCATTTTTGCATTTTGCATGTTTTCGAACCTCTTAGTATAGGCTCCCAAAAATAGGGATGTCAGGAATGCTTTGCATTCTCATCAGCTTAGACTTAAGTCAGTGAAACAACAATGAAGAATTTTCAAGCCCTGCAAGATTCTCTGCTTCCAGGCAAGAGCAAGCTCAAGAAACTGCATTTTTTCCTTATCAGTATTTCTTTAGGGTTCACAAATTGTGTGTAAAACTAATGCTCTTTCCTTCTGAGAAGCTAAGTATGTACAAGTGTGGAATGATTGCCTGATTGTCTAAAAAGATGCAAACAACCTGTTGATGTTTCTAAGCTATAAAAAATCATGGTCAGTATCTTGTTCTTTGGGCACATCATGAGAAGGAAAGATTTTCTAGAAAAGACAATAATGCCAGGAAAAATTGAGGGTAGCAGGAAAAGAGGAAGATGAAACGTGAGATGGATTGACTATCAATTGAGTTTACAAAAGCTAAGCAGGGCTTGCTGAGGACAGGGTATTTTGGAGATCAGTCATTCATAGGGTCACCATAGTGGGAGGTGGCGTGATGGCACACAACTACAAAAACAAATATCTTCTTGGGATTAGATGTAAAACAGAAGTTGCAGACAAATCTTTGGAGAGGTGCTTGTCATATGATTGTGTTTTAAAACAAGCAACAGGCACATGGCTGGCATGTCACATAACAGACATGGCCGCCTTTACAATTTCTGTTCTGCTCATGATAACTTAAAGGGTTACTGAACCATGCAACAGATGTCTTTGGCACAATTTTAGTGATTAGCTCTATTTGGAAAACTTTGTTTCATTTGCGCAAAAAAAACCACCCAGAAACAACCAAGCACCACAAAATATCTCACCCTTTTGCATGGTAAGGAGAATAATTTTGCAGTTCCTCATCCTTGTGTAAAAAGTAGAGGCAAGCATGGGTTTTCTTCCCTTGGACAAGAGAATCTAGTTGGATGTATACTTGCACCTTCATCTTCGAATATTTATTCATACAATAGACCCACTGAATTCCATAAATAATTGTACTGACACATGCAAGCATAATAGGGTTTTGATTTTCACTTAATTGCATTCCATTTTGTCTTTGCCTAATTAATGAGAAACACCAACAGTCAAACTTCTCTTCCACATAAGATTGGTTGAACAAGTTCTTTTGCAAACTCCAGCAACTCTTGTACTGGAATTTTATGTCTGTACATCTTTTAAAAATCAGTCATTTACTGTTTTTTTGTTGTTGTTTTTTGCCTAGCCTGTTCCTGAAGAATTACAAAATGGTGAAGGATTTGGTTATGTTGTTGCTTTCCGACCTCTTGGCATTACAACCTGGATACAGACAGTTGTTACATCACCTGACACGCCCAGATACGTCTTTCGAAATGAAAGCATCCTGCCATTTTCACCATATGAAGTCAAGGTTGGAGTATATAATAATAAAGGAGAAGGTCCTTTTAGTCCAGTGGCTACAGTGTATTCTGCTGAAGAGGGTGGGTTGTTTTTTTTAAAAAAATCTCTTTCATAGCTTTTGTTAAATTATTTTCCATACAAATGAATGGAGTGAATATTTGCTTAGCTAGTGTCAGTGAACCCATTTTAATTAGCTGGCAGCAAAGATTTATCTTCCTTTTTTTATCAGCGCTACTGCTTTTGTTTCGTTTTTGTTTTCTAATACAGAGCCTTCTATAGCACCTTCTGGTATGTCTGCAAACAGTGTCTCATCTTCTGTCATTGAAGTGTCCTGGAATGCCATTCCTTGGAAAATGAGTAATGGGAGACTGCTGGGCTATGAGGTAAAAATAAAATCCTGTGAAGATAACACTGTTTCCCAAAATGGCTCTGCTAGGGTTCTTTTAGTTTCAAATCATTATTCATGTGTGGGTTGGAAACCAAAGCTTACTGTTAAAAATCAGCTGCTCTTTCTTTGTTTCTTTATGGGAAAATGACTCATGCAAACATCTGGTGATATATAATTTTTTTTTCTCTGCTTCCACCTCTCCCCCTAAAATTTTGGTGTGGAAGTTGCCTGAGAGGCCAGCTATTCAAAGCCAGAAAGGCAGTTTTCTGTATCTGAATCTAGATGAACACATGGTAGAGTTGCAAATAATCTGGTCTTTGGGGGAGTATAAAAGCCAAATGTAAATATTCACAGATTTTTTTGTGTGTGTGCAGAACTTGAGCTTTGCCTTATTTGTTGGCATTACACCAGATCAATCACGGCAAGCTCACTAAAATTGCACTGAGAATGGAAATCGGCTGGCAGTCAGCTCCTGCTGTCACTGTCTGTATATGCCTAGTTAATATCTACCGAATCTCCTGCCACTAGCGTGGCAAAGATAAGCACAGTATCTCAACCTCCATTAACACAAGCCAAACTGTATTTAAATACACATGGTTGTGTTCCATCCTTCTTTCATGAAGGCGGTAAAAGTGTATATAGATTATGCCTTTATAGCAACTGATGTTTAAGCAGACTACCAAAGGAAGTCAGGTGCGAAATTTGATACTGCCATTTGCAATATAAAAAAGCGATAGCCAGTCTAGGGTGCCCATGTAATGATAGAACACCACAGAGTAACTGTAACTTCTACCTATTAAGGCTGAGCTGTTTATTTGGGTTTATAAATTGAAGATGCATATTTTAAACAATGAGATGCAGTGCCATTTCCTGTTATGGTGTGAAAATAAAAAGGCATTCTAGCCATTGGAAGTAAGTTGTAAGTTATTAGGATGCAGATCTGAGTAAATGGAAAGTTGAATGAATAAATAATAAATAAACAATGTCAACATGTTTTAAGTAGCCTCTGATTTCGACCTGCTAGGTAAGATATTGGAATAATGGTGGAAAAGAACAGTCTTCAAACAGAGTAAAAGTCATCGGAAATGAAACATCAGTAAGAATAACAGACCTGATGAGCAACCTGGTGTATTTCACAGCCGTTCGTGCATACAACAGTGCGGGAGCAGGTCCGTTTAGTGCCACTGTGAATGCTACCACCAAAAAAACACGTAGGTATCATCAGGAGAGGAAATGATGTAATTGTGTTCCTTTACCTGCAAAGGGGGTGGGGGTGGGGATTAACTTTTTAAATAGGTTAGTGCAAGATGAGACAATGTAAGTTCCATTGTGCTTTAGAAATAGCTTATGTGTTTTTGCTAAGTAAAAAAAAAACTGTCAGTAAATACCTATATCTCTTTTCTCTGTCTTGTGGGAAGATAGTAACAATACAGTTTGCATTTAATGGAACACATAAAATTGGGCCTTTTGTGTTGACACAAGCAAGCAATTGGGTCTCAGCATATTTAAATCAAAGCATTCTCAGTGCAGCAGAAACAACATTTGATAATACTGATAGTAATCTGATGGTAGCCAGTTTCTTCTGCCTGTGGGAATCTAAAGCTTTGTTTCAGCTATGTGTGTAAATAGAGCCTGGTTCTGATCCCAAGGTTCAGCCCATCTCATTTTGATCTCTGCATGGAAGATTTCAAGCTGGGGATGTGTTACTGCTGTAGTAAATATTAGCACTTCTTATAGATTATTATACATGTCTACCAATATGTCTATGTGGCATGCAAATACACAATATTTGCATACTAGAAAATATAGTGAAATCTCCAGCCAAATCACAGTAGCAATGGCAAGTAAAACATCTTAATGTTGTTTTAAATAGTTAAATCATTTGAAACTTCCACAAAGAAAGAGAGAATCGGAAAGTGATCCTGTTTTCAGCACTCACTGTAAAATGAGTACTCGTTCTGCCTTCCAGACTTCTTAGGGGAAAAAAGTCCAAAGAATGCATGATATTCCTGTGACAGCATGTTTTTGTGATGGTGTCTGATGATGTTCACTTGGTTATGCAGTACTTCAGTGAAGACTCTGCTCATTATCTGAGTTCAATATTGGGCTCCAGTAGCCGGCTTGAGGTTGATTCAACCTTCCATTGGTCTGAGATCAGCGAAATGAGTACCCAGCTTGCTGAAACAAGGGGCAATGTGTAACCTGCATAAATAAATTGTAAACCACCCAGAAAAACATTTCAACCTAACAAGAAAGAAGTTCAGTTGTCATGACTCAGCTTCCAGACACCAAGAGAGTGTTTTAACCACTGTGGGGTGATATATAAACACCACACTTTGCTTTTCTGCTTTATGGGTCCAGTTGTTGTTGTTTAGTCCTTTAGTCATGTCCAACTCTTCATGACCCCATGCCTTCACAGGACTTTCTCCCTGGTGAGAATTTTGCAAACCACTTGTGCAACATCAAGTTATGAAGGCCAGATATGAAGAATATGTACTTACTTTTATGTACTTTCACCAAAATAAACAAGGCTGGGGTTTCCGAAGAATGTTCTTTTATAAAGGGCAGTATGAAGTCAGCCTGTGACTGGAATTTGAGAGGCAGCACAAAAAGGTAGAAAAGGCATATTGATAATCCTCACTCCTGTTTGACTATGAAACTCGGGATGGGGTGGAAACAGTTTCACATAGATACTCACTCCTGTATTTGACTATGAAACTCAGGGGATGGGGTGGAAACAGTTTCACATAGATTTATTTCACATCGCATCTATGATTTATGAAAGTACAGTGGTGCCTCACTTGATGATGATAATCTGTTCCTTTCGAATCGCTGTTAAGCGAAATGGTCGTCAAGCGAAAGTTTCAAATCACTGTTAAGCGAAATGGTCGTCAAGCGAAAGTAAAAAACCGATTGAAATACATTGAAAACCGGTCAATGCATTCCAATGGGCAAAATACCTCATTGTGCAGCGAAGATCCTCCATAGGGCGGCCATTTTCTAATACCTGTAAAGCGAAGAATCCATCCTGAACATAGTGGGGAGCCATTTACACAATGGGGAGCCATTTTGAAAACCTGAGGATCAGCTGTTTTTGATCATCGTGAAGCGAAAAATCAGTTCCTGAAGCAGGGAACTGATCGTCGCCAAGTGGATTTTCCCCATTTAAACATTGTTTTGCGATCGCAATAGCAATCGCAAAAAACTCATCGTAAAGCGGATTCGTCGTGGAGTGGGGTAATCGTCAAGTGGGGCACCACAGTATGGATATATGTTCTGTTCTATGTGAAGGAAGCATAGATAGTTGCAAAGGACCTGGATTTTTTTTATTAGTCTCAAATTCATCATTTATACATGAAGCTGCTACTTATGCACATTTGTTGTTCTTGTTTAATCGTTAATTCGTGTCCAACTCTTCATGACCCCATGGACCAGAGCATGCCAGGCCATCCTGTCTTCTATTGCCTCCCGGAGTTGGGTCCAATTCACGTTAGTCGCTTTGATGACATTGTTCAAACATCTCGTCCTCTGTTGTCCCCTTCTCTTGCCTTCACTCTTTCCCAACATCAGGGTCTTTTCCATGGAGATTTCTATTCTCATGAGATGGCAAAAGTATTGGAGCCTCAGCTTCAGGATCTGCCCTTCCAGTGAACGCTCAGGGTTGATCTCCTTCAGAATGGATAGGTTTGATCTTCTTGCAGACTAGGGGACTCTCAAGTGTCTCCTCCAGCAACAGAATTCAAAAGCATCAATTCTTCAGCGGTCAGCCTTCTTTATGGTCCAACTCTTAACTTCCATACATCGCTCCTGGAAAAACCACAGCTTTGACTATGTGGACCTTTGTCAGCAAGGTGATGTCTCTGCTTTTTAAGATGCTGTCTAGGTTTGTCATAGCTTTCCTCCCAAGAAGCAGGTGTCTTTTAATTTCGTGGCTGTTGTCATCATCTGCAGTGATCACAGAGCCCAAGAAAGTAAAATCTATCACTGCCTCCATATCTTCCCCTTCTATTTGCCAGGAGGTGATGGGACCAGTGGCCATGATCTTAGTTTTTTTTTGATGTTGAGCTTCGGATTATTTTTTGTGCTCTCCTCTTTCACCCTCATTTAAAGGCTCCATAATTCCTCCTCACTTTCTGCCACCAGAGAGGTATCATCTGCATATCTGAAGTTGTTAATATTTCTTCCAGCAATCTTAATTCCATTTTGGGATTCATCCAGTCCTGCCTTTCGCATGATGTGTTCTGCATATTAAGTTAAATAAGCAGAGAGACAATATACAGCCTTGTCATACTCCTTTCCCAATTTTGAACCAATCAGTTTTTCCATATCCAGTTCTAACTGTTGCTTCCTGACCCACATACAGATTTCTCAGGAGATAGATAAGGTGATCGGGCACTCCCATTTCTTTCAAAACTTGCCAGAGTTTGCTGTGGTCCACTCAGCCAAAGGCTTTTACATAGTCAATGAAACAGGATTAGATAATTTTTTCTGGAACTCTCTGGCTTTCTCCATAATCCAGCACATGTTAGCAATTTGGTCTCTAGTTCCCATGCCCCTTCAAAATCCAGCTTGTACTTCTGGGTCCACATACTGCTAAAGCCTACCTTGCAGGATTTTGAGCATAGCATATGGAATGAGTGCAATTTTACGGTAGTTGGAGCATTCTTTGGCACTGCCCTTCTTTGGGATTGGGATGTAGACTGATCTTTTCCAATCCTCTGGCCACTGCTGAGTTTTCCAAACTTGCTAGCATATTGAGTGTAGCACCTTAACAGCGTCATCTTTTAAGGTTTTAAATAGTTCAACTGGAATGCCATCACTTCCACTAGCCTTGTTGTTAGCCATGCTTTCTAAGGCCCACTTGACTTCACTCTCCAGGATGTCTGGCTCAAGGTCAGCCACCACATGATCTGGGTTGTCTGGGACATCCAGATCTTTCTGATATAATTCCTCTGTGTATTCTTACCATGTCTTTCCTCTGTGTATTATTGCCAACTTTCTTTTATTTTCCTCTGTTTATTTACACTGTTCATTTAAGTGCTTCTTGTCTCTCCTTCCTATTCTTTGGAAGTCTGTATTTGATTTTCTTTAACTTTCCCTATCTCATGGTTGTTGTGGGTTTTTCGGGCTCTTTGGCCATGTTCTGAAGTTTGTTCTTCCTAACGTTTCACTAGTCTCTGTGGCCGGCATCTTCAGAGGACAGCACTCTGTGTGTCCCTGAGAACTCTTTCCCTATCTCCCTTGCATTTTGTTTACATCTCTTCTCTGCTATTTGTAAGGTCTCGTGAGACAGCCACTTCCCTTCTTTGCATTTCATTTTCTTTGGGATGGTTTTTGTTGCTGCCTCCTGTACAATGTTTCAAGCCTCCATCCATAGTTCTTACGGCACTCTGTCCACCAAATCTAGTTCCTTAAATCTGTTCTTCATTTCCATTGTGTATTCATAAGGGAAGTTGGTTTAGATCACTGGTTCTTAACCTTGGGTTACTCAGGAGTTTTGGACTGCAACTCTCAGAAGCCTTCACCACCAGCTGTCCTGACTGGGGTTTCTGGGAGTTGCAGTTCAAAAGCATCCGAGTAACAAAGGTTAAGAACCACTGGTTTAGATTATACCTGAGTAGCCCAGTGGTTTTTCCTACTCTCTTGAATTTAAGCTTTAGTTTTACTAAAAGAAGCTGATGATCAGAGCCACTAGTTTTACTAAAAGAAGCTGGTGATCAGAGCCACAATCAGCTCTTGTTTTTTTATGACTGTATAAAGCTTCTCCATCTTTGGCTGCAGAGAACACAATCAATCTGATTTCAGTATTGCCCATCTGGTGATGTCCATGTGTAGAGTTGCCTCTTGTGTTGTTGAAAAAGAGTGTGATGACCAGCTTGTTCTCTTGAGAAAACTGAACAGTACTAGCCTTTGGCCTGCTTTGCTTTGAACTCCTAGGTCAAACTTACCTGTTGTTACTTTTATCTCTTGACTACCTTCTTTGGCATTCCAATCACCTATAATGAGAACATCTTTCTTTGGTATCACTCTTTTGTGTCGGTTCTAGAATGTGTTGTAAGTCTTCATAGAATTAGTCAATCTCAGCCTCTTTGGTATTGGTTGTTGGTGCTTAAATGTGGATTACTGTGATGTTGAAAGGTCTACTTTGGATTCGTACTGAAATCATTCTATCATTTTTGAGATTGTATCCCACTTTTCCCACTCTTTTCTT